GTGGATTGCCTGAGCCCGCGGGTTCGAGACCCGCCTGGGCAACCTGGGGAGACCTCATCTCCACAATAAATAAAAAATTAGCTGGGTGTGGTAGCGCATGCCTGTAGTTCCAGCTATTCGGAAGGCTGAGGTGGAAGGATCCCTGGAGCCCAGTAGTTCGAGGCTGCGGTGGCCGGGAGCGGCCACTGCACTCCAGTCTGGGCGATAGAGTGAGACTCCAACTCAAAAAAAAAAAGAAAAAAAATACTGGATCCTATTTAAATGTCCCCAGTTACACCGTAATGCCTCTCACAACTGGCTTTCTGTATCAGATCCAACTAGGTCCACATATCACCGTTGGGTCTCAGTGTGTCTCGGGGAAAGCCTGTTCTCCCAAACCCCATCTTTCAATGAAAAAGCATCAGCATTCAGAATACATCTGGAAACCCGTGTTAGTAAGAAAAACGTATTTTAATCTTATTCATAAAACGTGATTTTAAAAAGTTTACAATTTGTGTGAAACATGACTTTAAATTTTTGCTGAAAAATGCCATCATGTTTTCTTATTAAAATAATTTTTAGCTGGGCGCAATGGCTCATGCCTGTAATCCCAGCACTTTGGGAGGCAGAAGCAAGAGGACTGCCTGAGCCCACGGGTTCGAGACCAGCCTGGGCAATGTGGCAAGACCTTGTCTCTACAATAAACTTAAAAAAAATTAGTTGGGCATGGTGGCGTGCATCTGTAGTTCCAGCTACTTGGAAGACTGAGGCGGAAGGATCGCCTGAGCCCAGTAGGTCGAGGCTGTGGTGGGCGTGAGCATGTAACTGAACTCTATCCTGGGTGACAGAGCGCAGCTGAACTCTATCCTGGACGACAGAGTGAGACTCCGACTCAAAAAAACAAATTATTGGAGTCTCACTCTGTCGTCCAGGTTGGAGTGCAGTGGCACGCTGTAGGTAACCACAGCCTCGACTTGCTGGGTTCAGGTGATCCTTCCTCCTCAGTCTTCTAAGTAGCTGGAAATATAGGTGCGCGCCACCACATCTGGTTAATTTTTTGATTTATTGTAGAGATGAGGTCTCTCTAAGTTGCCCAGGCTGGTCTTGAACTCGTGGGTTCAGGCAATCCTCTCACCTTGGCCTACCAAAGCGCTGGGATTATAGGTGTGAGCTACCGCACCCAGTCAATAATAATAATTTTTAAACTCTAGAAAAACTTTAGTTTGCAAACCTCCACCTCCCTTTAGCAGGCTGTAAAGAGAATGCAGCCCCTCAGGACAGGAGATGCAGAGTGGGTACAGTGGTCACTGATGAGGTAGAGGTGAAGGTGCAGAACCTCGTGTCTGATTGGAAGAAGAGTCACAATGGAGCTTTCTTCTCTATGTTTTGCTCTGCTTTGCTAAAGGAAAGCAGGGCTGTACGCAAGAAACTTGGACAAATATGGAATATTTTCCTCTGGCAAGTTCTAGGAAAAAAGGTGTATATTTCTAGGGGGAAATGCTTAAGTAAAAAGCTGCTGGGTTGACACCTGACCTCCACTGACCTGGATCACTGGCAACCCCCGCGTGATGTTTGCTGTGCCAAGAACCACAGGGAAAACAAGGGCAGTCTAACACCTGACATCATGTGTTCACTTCTCAAAAATAATTCCAGTCGAAATCATAGAGCTTTATGCCCACACTTAAGATTTTAACTTTCTTTCTTTTTGTGTTGGAGTCTCATTCTGTCACCCAGGCTGGAGGGCAGTAGTACACTCATGACCACCACAGCCTCGACCTGCAGGGTTCAGGTAATCCTTCCACCTCAGCCTTCCAAGTAGCTGGGACTATAGGCATGTGTCACCACGTCCAGCTAATTTCTTTTGATTTATTGTAGAGATGCAGTCTCGCCAATTTGCCCAGCCTGGTCTTGAACCGTGATCTCAAGCAATCCTCTCGTTTCAGCCTCCCAAAGTGCTGGGATTACAGACATGAGCTACCATGCCCAGCTAGGATTTTAACTTTCCACATAACAGGAAACAAAAAGTGTCTCTGCTTGCAAAAATAGAAGGATATAATATATAGTGATTTGGAATTTCCAGGTATTTTACAAACTGTATCCAATTTAATTTTCTTGAAAGCCCAAAAAGATGGCGCATGATCACTAAACCCATTTCATGGGCAAGTAAAGTCCACTGGGATCGACTTGCTTGGAACCTTGACTATAAGTCATTTTTCTAAATCCTAGCACTTTTCTGGGCAATGCAATTTTCTTCTTTTCCTTATTTAGTCAAAGTGTAAATCAACTAAAGTAATACTGGAGAAACAAAGTATAAAAATGGGCAGGTGCAGAGGCTCATGCCTGAAATTCAGCAATTTGGGAGGCTGAGGTGGGAGGATTGCTTGAACCCAGGAGTTCAAGACCAGCCTAGCCAATAGCAAGACCTTGTCTCTACAAAAAATAAAATAAAATAAGAAAGTATAAAAGCATGAAAGTTACATGAAGTTAATTTTAGAAAAAAGGTTAGATGATATATCAATATGTTCTACTGAAAAGTCTGGCAACCAGGCACAGTGGCTCACGCTTGTCATCCCAGTATTCTGGAAAGCTGAGGTGGGCGGATTACTCAAACCCAGGAGTTGGAGACCAGCCTGGGCAACTTGGCGAGACCTTGTCTCTACAATAAATCAAAAAATTAGCTGGGTGTGGTTGCATGCACCAGCTACTTGGAAGGCTGAGGTGGAAGGATCACTTGGACCCAGCAGGTGGAGGCTATGGTGGCAATGAGCATGCCCCTGCATCCAGCCTACAGGACAGAATCAGAGACTCAGACTCCAAAAAGAAAAGAAAAGAAAAGCCTGGCTCTGGGAAATTCACCTAGTAGAAGCAAGTAAACATGTGGGAAAGCAGGGCAAACGCTCTTCCTCGATAATCCATTTAACACATTCTTCCTAGGTGATAGAACTGTTAGTCGTTGTCAGCATACTCTTCATATAGCTAAGTATTAATAACTTCATTCTGGATTATACCATACAATGTTGTCCTTAGTTGTACCTCACTGTTGGAAGGCTCGTTATACAAGAAGACCTTAGCAAAGTGCTAAAGTAAGCCCAGCGTGGTGACTCACCTCTGTCATCCCAGCACTTTGGGAGGTGGAGGCGAGGGGATTACCTAAGTCAGTGGTTCGAGGCCAGCTTGGGCAACTTGGCAAGACCTTGTCTCTACAATAAATCAAAAAAGTAGCCGGGCATGGTGGGGCACACCTGCAGTTTCAACTACTTAGAAGACTGAAGTGAAAGGATCGTCTGAGCTTAGTAGGTTGAGGCTGCAGTAGCCATGAGCATGTCCCTGCACTCCAGCCTGGGTGACAGTGAGATTCCCACTCAAAAAAAAAAAAAAGCTAAAGTAATACTCAAAGCCGCAAAGAAATTCAACTTCAAGGATTAGAACATGTTCTCAGGTTGCTACTTTACTCAAAAAATTTCCCACATGAATCTGATAAATTGCTGAGCTCCCCAGTCTTAAATATCTACCTTGATGATCCTAGTCCTATTTTAAGCATAGAAGTGTCTTTTTTGAAAAGTTAGCAATTGTGGAAAGCTTCCAAGTTTTCCATGCAGCAGACAATTATTTTTCCTACCCAACTGCTCTGTAAAATTAGAATTACAACGTATTTGCAATAAAATTCAGGATTCAAAAATTAATCCTTTGTTATGACTGAAATCAAGTTGCCTTCTACTGTACCTTTGGATGTTTATACAGGGACTTCTTCCATGTCTTTGCCTCTTCACACTATTAACAATGGAAAATCCTGCATCCCTACACTCAGCTAAGTTAAAATCACACAGAGAAAACAAACTAAAATTACATTCACAGATACCCTAAAACCGTTTCAAAGTTACATTATACATTTCAAAATAAAAGCAGGCACCCCAAGATTAGAAGTGAAATAAGCCATCTAAGATGTACTTTCAGGTTTTTCAAGGAAGAATGTCCTCTGCTTCTAACGGGAGAAAAGAGTGGAAGGAAACCAGAAGTATAGGAAGGAGATGCCCTTGGGTACGCTTCGCTTTACTTTAAAACATTTCAAATCTCATTCCCTCCCTGGCTTTGACGTGAAGTCCTTAAAATGAGAAAACCGAAAGACGATCTGGAGTGTCGCAGCCCACTTTTTTTCCGCTGTCACAGAAGCTACCTCCACTCGCGCCTGATTAATTGCAGGGGACGCGCCGCGCTCGTAGCAGCACTTACCGATCCCGCGCCCCGCACCGAGTCCGCGCACACGGGCGCCCCCGCACACCCGGACGGCCCCCGTCCGCAGCTGCAGAGAGGCGGAGCCTGCGCCCACCGCGACCCACTCCAGGATCTGGCAGAAACCAGCCAGGAAAGCACCCCCGCCCGGAGGGGCGAACCACGGCCATCATGGCCGGACGCCCCACTCTCGCCCCACTGACTCCGCGAGCCCGGGCGCCCCCACCCACCGGGACGTCCCCGCGCACCTGGACGCCCCTTGTCCGCAGTTGCAGCGAAGCGGAGCCCGCGCCCAACGCGACCCACTCCGCTATCTGACAGAAACCGACCAGGAGAGCACCGCTCCCCGGAGGGGCGAGCCACGGTCACCCTGGCCGGACGCCCCACTCTCGCCCTTGCCAGAAGGGACACCTATTGTCACCAGCCGGAAAGGACGCGCACTGTCACCCCGCCCTGGAGGGACGCCCACTGCCTCCGGCCGGGAGACGAGTCCTCACTGTCACCCCTGCTGTAAAGGACGCCCCACTGTCACTCGTGCCTGGAGGGACGCCTCACTGTCACCGACCGGGAGAGGCATCCCCGCTGTCGCCCCTGCCGGGAAGAAAGTCCACTGCCACCCACTGTCACTGGCGCTGCGATACCCACTTCGGGGAGTGGGGACCGGGAGTCTAGGAGGGCCCCTGACAAGCGCCCCATCCCGTCCGCGACCAGGCCCACCCTCCACCCGCAGCCACCATGTCCTCCGTTCCGGCCCCTCCGTGTTCCGGGGTCCGGCCCGGGGCACTCGTCACCTCATGAGGTAGTTCCGAAAATCCTTGCTTCGGGCATAGTCCGCCGCTTTCCGCACCAGCGCGCCAGCCATGGTTGTGCCGGACCCCAGGCCCCTCGTGGTCCCTGCTGCTGCCGCCGCCGCTCCTCAGAACCCAGTGACACCCGGTCAACCCC